AGCAGGAAAGGAGTTCACTAGAAATGTACCTAATCATAGGTACAAATATATAAGCATAAAACAAATATAATCAACAAGATAAGGGATAGAAACATACCAGCAACCATATATGGTGCTGTCCTGGCCTCCTTGACTGTAAGCTGAAAGGCGCGTCCCCGGGCCTTCAGAGACTCTGCTCTACCCTGACTCCCGTCAATGATCCTCAGAGTAGCTAGCGCGGGAGCCTGCGTCGGCTTGGCGGCTAGCAGGGGGCATCGGGCCTTCATATGGCCCACCTGCTCACAATGGTAACAAAGTCTGACTCTAGAAGTTGGAGTCTGCTGCCTACAATCCCTAGCAATGTGGCCCTGCTTGCCACACTTGTGGCACCTGCTACCAGATCGGAAAACCCCCGAATGAGCCTTCCCGCACTTCCCACAAGTGTGGTCGTGCTGACCTCCAGACCTAGAATCAACGGTCTTGGACCGCTTCGGCGTCGGTAGTGATTGCGCAGGGGCCTGTCTCTGCTCTTTCAACTGCAACTCTATCTCAAGCTCACGCCGCCTAGCGGCCTCCTGTAACTCTAGTAATGTGTCACATCGCAGGGTAGCAACAAACTGTCTGATGTCAGTCTTGAGCATGCTCAGATAACGAGCCATCTGAGCCTGCTCGGATGCAAACTCCGGGCAAAACATCGCCTTCTCAGTGAACATGTAGGTGATCTCTGTCACCGTCTCCGTAGCTTGTCTCAGATCCAAGAACTCATGTGACAGCCGCTCTCGCTCAACCCGTGGAATGTAGCGAGCGCGGAACATCTCCCTAAACTTATCCCAAGTAACCGCTGCTCTCTGATCATGAGTATACAACCCAGTAATCAACCTCCACCAGTCATTTGCTCCGGACCTCAGTAGGTTCAGAGCATATCTGACCTTCTGGTTAGCAGGACATGAGCATGTGAAGAAGCATCCCTCCACGTCAAACAGCCACCTCATGGCTATGATTGGGTCCTGAATCCCATCAAAAGTCAGGGGCTTTGGGTTATCGAAGTCCCGGTACTGGAAAGCCTGGCTGATACCACCACCAGCGGCTGCTACAGTTGCGGAGGCTGCGACGGCAGCCGTCTGAGCAAGGGCTGCATAGCGCTCATCAAAGTACTCCACCATAGCGGTCTTGATAGACCCAAACATCTCCGACAACTGTGCCCGGAACAGCATAGCAACCTCATCATGAAGGATCTCCCGAATCCTTGCGTCCAACTCATCCGACCTCATCTGGCCAATGGCCTCGGGCTCTGCTGGTCTACCCTGACTGCCCTCTCCCGATCCCGATCCCGATCCGGTCATAAACCGCCTCGTAGTCACAATACTAAAAATATACCATACCAGTAACATATCAGACATTCCATATAATACGGGGAACCAACTCCCAACCAAAACCCTAGGGGTTTTGACTTCCTTGTTACGCGTATGGGTCCTGTGCTTTCAGTAGTACGGGCCCATACTGTTGGATTAAATGTCTAAGCCCATAACTATTATTGGTATGTATTCGACCCGACTTGGCATGGTCCATTTGGGTTGCATGGCATCAGAACGATTTGGATAGACTTTTGTGAGAAAAGGATATATATGATTTATTAATATATTATAAGTTCTAATATATTAATATGAAATCATATTATTTAATTAGTATTGATCAAGAATTAATTTGGAATTAATTCTGTGATCAAAAGACACTAATTAAATATATGGGGATTGATTGTGTAAATCATTCATTCTTATATATATGTGGGCTTATGATCCATAGTTCTTCTTGTTGGGCTAAACCCATGGAGTAACCCATGGATACTCCATGGAGGTTTTAACCCATGGAGCATGAAGAATATGGAAAGACATGAGTTACATAGTGTAACCCTAATAGCCACAATATATAAGGACCCCATGGCTCAAGAAATCGGTACCTATGGGTTTCATATGAGAGGGCTAGCCGATTTGAGCATAAGGAATTTTCTCTCAAGTTATTCCAAGTTGTTGTTGGTGTTGTGTGAACCATTTGAGGTGTCACACTTGAGGCACTCGGCTCTTAAGCTCCATGGAATCAAGCTACAAAAATAAAAGGTATGTTACTCTAACTAGTATCTTATTTGGTATATGAAAATGCATGCTAGTTATAGGTTTAATGTCTTGGAAACCATTTGCATGTATAATTAGTGAAAACATAGATCCAAGGTATTTAGGGTTGTATGTGCACCATAGGATGTTGTAGTATACTAAAACCCATCAGTGGTATCAAAGCCAAGGCTTGTTTTCAAGTTATACTTGCTGAAATAGCTTTAAAATCGAAAATTATGGCTTTCTGGGGACTGGACTCGCCGAGTCCATTGATGGACTCGCCGATTCCATGAAGACATTCGTCCTACTCGTCGATTAGGTTCATACACTCGACGAGTAGAAGCCCCTAACAGCATATTTTCGACTTTTAAGGCTGGAATTGGACTAGGAACATTACCCTAAGCTGTTTTTTATCTTATAAACCTGTTTTTGATGTGGTAATGTTCATGCTAATCCAATTTCAAAGATAATTGTCATAATTTCAAGTTGTATTAGTTTATATGTTCATGCTAATTTCTTGAAGATTGATGATTTGAATTATCTCACTACTAGAAAACAGTCCTTTAATGACACGCGAACAATGACACACAGTAATTTACGATACGTAAAAGTGTGTGACCTTAAAATGATGTCATCTCTCAAGGAATTTGAAGGATTAAGGACGCCCATTTTTGTGTGCCCTAAATTTAGTGTCAGAAAAAAAACACGGAGGGCGCTTATTATAAAATGTGTGTCATCTAAGCATGTCATTTTATAATTTTTAATGAAACGCGCGTTAGCCAAGGCGGTAAATGATATCCCAAAAAATTAAAATCCCCGCCTATTCGATCCTCTCTCAGTCTCCCTTGTTCCCTCTACATCCCTTCTAACCAAACCTTAGCATCTCAAAACAACCCTAAACTCCCCCACACGATAATTAGGGCTTTTTTTACTACAACATTCTCCAGATGATCGAGCTAGAGTACGACTGCAACACTTCCTCTCACCGTCCGGAGACCTCATCAGGCTCGCCTCACTTCACCAGCGACTGCGACTCATCAGCGTCATCGTGCCGGAGACTACGTCCCGACCCCACTTTCCATCTACGTCTGCCACCTAAATGGAAATCCACTCAATCTCCATTTAACCATCTATCAAGCTATTCAAAGACAACTTGTTCTTGATGAAGATGATGACGAGAGGTACAACGGGAGTGATTTTGTCTCTAGTGATGGAAGCAGATTATGGGTCGATATATACACAGTTCCCGAGTCTCATTTAACGAGGGAAGAAGAGAGAAAGGGAGGGAATCGGAGCGAAAGAGTAAACCATAGTGTTCCTGAGTTTTTTTTTGGAATGATTTGGGAAGAAAAGAAAGGAAATCAGAGGATAATCTTCCCTCCTAATCTTCCTCCCAAATTGGAGAGATTTGGAGAGAAGATAATCGATGACAAGGATAACAAAGATCATGTATCATTCTAACATACATCAAAAAATCGATCTTTCATCCTGTGTTTCAACGTCCCTACTGCTTCAACGTCCCTATTGCAGACTTCATTCTTGTTCAGAATATACAAAAAAATCGATCCATCATCCATCAGGTTTCACTCTTCTCCCCTGTATTTTGTTGTTGTTAGATCGTGTTCACAATATATATTTAGAACATTTTTTTTCTACTTCATTATGCTTTGTTTCTTCTTCATTGTTGTTGTTACAATTGACTTGATTCATTAGGTTAACTCTGATTATATGTTTAGAACATCATTATATGAAAGTAAATATGAATGTTAATTATATGAAAGTAAATATGAATGTTAACTAGTTCTTTCGTGAACATCTTTAGAGGCATGTGTAGTTGCATTGAAACTAATAAAACACTGATCAGGAGAATGATTTTTCTTTATGCTATAGTACATAATGATATACACAATGATGGTACTGTGCTAGATGCATGTGGGTTGTAGGAGCACTTGTTTAGGATAAGTAGCTAAACCCCACATTTGTTTATTTTTGTCATCATAATTAAGGAACTGTTAAAGACTATATGTCATTCTTTATTTTCTTTTTTCTCTGTAACTCTGTTCTTCATATTTAGGGTTTAAGGCAATATTTTTAGACATTTGAGTTTTGGTGCTACAGAATTTTACAAATCATGTCATCTTAATAAATTTTTAGTGCTCAGTATCCCATTTTTGTTTATAATTATTTGATTATTTAGAGGATTATATACCCAGTTTGATACAAATCACAACAAACCTGGTTGTCAATAACTTATATGCCACTATTTTAACCTTATTTTGTTTAAGGTTAAATGCAAGGAATGGCAACATAGTGATTAGTGAACATATCCTTGTAAAGTGTATAGTTTCTTGCTACCAGGTTTCATTCTTATTTCCTTATCATGTTCTCTTTTCCTATTTTTATTTATTCTTGGTTTGGACAATTTATAAAGTTTGGCTTCTTTTCAGTTAGACAAATGTTATCATGTTCTCTTTTCCTGTTTTTATTTATTCTTGGTTTAGACAATTTATAAAGTTTGGCTTATTTTCAGTTACAACATCCTATCTTTGTTGCGTATTTTAGACGATTTAAACCAGCGGGCGCATGGTCTGCGTGTCCAGTCAGCAACCGATAGTTCTGCGGAAGGAAAAATCTCGAGCCTTGATGATCTAAATATTTCAGAAACATAATGTCGGAACCTGTTCCAGGAGTTAATTTCACATTCGATATGCTCCACCCAGATTTCTGTGAAAAGATGCTAGCTGAGGTCCCCTTTTGTTATATATAAAATAAATAATCTTATATTTCTATTTCTATTTCTTATAAATAGTATTTATATTTTCTTATAATTTGTTAGGTTGAAAATTACGAAAAGTGGGTTCTGGAAACAAAATCAGCAACCATGCGCCCAAACACCCAGATTTCTGTGAAAAGATGTCGGCTGAACAAATTTGGTGTTGTTCTTGCATAGGGGAAGCTCCCAGTAGTCAATCGTAAGTCAACCTAACCTATCTTTCTTCTTTCTCACATTGAAAAATTGGAAACTTTAATTCTCAGTTTTTGTTGATCAGGTACTTGTTAATAGATACCCAATGTCCTTTCTGCTGCTATCAGTCATGGATGTATTGCCACCGTAATATGGTGGTCCACAGAGATCTTAAACCTGAGAATCTGCTATTGGATGCCAAATGTAATGTGAAAATTGCAGATTTTGGTTTGAGTAATATCATGCGTGATGGACATTTTCTCAAAAAAAGTTGTGGAAGTCCAAATTATGCAGCCCCTGAGGTATAAAATATAAATTTCACATAAATCAGACTAATATTTTCAGCATCAGATTTAACATTTTTTTTAAAATAGGTTATATCTGGGAAACTATATGTTGGGCCCGAGGTAGATGTATGGCGCTGTGGTGTTATCCTGTATGCTCTTCTTTGTAGGACCCTTCCTTTTGACGACGAAAACATTCCCAACCTTTTCAAGAAAATTAAGGTCTGTCAGTTTAATATTTGATAAATTCCCATTTATACCCTTCTCATTTTGATTTGTTGTTTAAGGGTGGAATATATACCCTTCCCAGTCATTTGTCACCCGGTGCTAGAGATTTGATTCCAAGGTACTTTAATATTTGTAAATCTTGATGCTTGCATGGTACTTTAATACGTTACTGTAGTTCTAATGTTCTATCTTTACACTTATAATCGGTGATCAAGTTATAGTCTTTATAGGCAAATAAAACATCTTTTTTTGCTCTATAGGTATGGAGATTTATACACAGACAAGAATGTTGCCATTAGTTGTATACACACCCATGCTGGCCCTGGAGGTTATCTGCAATATGTGGTGTATATTGTTACATCTTTAGGATTTGTACGCCAATCATTTGATGTAATAGTTGATGGCATTGAACAAAGTGTCATTCGTGCTCATGAAAACCTTCATCCTGGATCAGTTTTTGTAAACAAAGGTAAAAATATCTTAATTTTGTTAGCATTATAACCTGTGGGCCATTTATTTATGGTAGTTTTGGTATAAAACTTGCAGGAGAGATCTTGTATGCAAGTGTGAATCGTAGCCCTAACTGCTTATCTTAACAATCCTGCAACAGAAAGGGCAAAATACAAGTATGATGTGGATAAAGAAATGACACTTTTGAAGTTTGTAGATGATCAGTGGGGTCCAGTGGGTGCCTTTAACTGGTTTGCTACTCATGGAACTTCAATGAGTCGTACGAATGAGTTAATCAGTGGGGACAACAAAGGAACAGCTGCACGCCTCATGGAAGATTGGTTCAATCAGAAAAGTGTTAGTGAAAACCCACGAAGAGTCTCCAATATTGTTCAAGTTTCACAAACAAATCGTAAGTTTATTAAAATAATTACCAGTTAAAATTGTTTATTTATAATCTTATGGTGTTTTTATACAAACCATGAGTTGTTGGAACTCGCGTCTTCATTTCAGTCAACTTCTGGTCAACCAACAACCAAGTATTTGAGCATATCAAGACGTGTTAGAAGTGTTCTTAGATCTGCAAATAGGCCAATATTTGTATCTGCTTTTTGTCAATCGAATTGTGGGGATGTGATTCCAAATGTGCTTAGGGCTTTTTGCACAGATACTGGGTTACCCTGTGATTTTAATCATAGTACTTGTGGTGGGAAGAATGAGTTGTGTTATGGAAGAGGACCAGGGTTCGTGTTTTTATTTTTTCTATACATTATAATCCTTCTCTTGATGTGTTTTTAACTTTTTATTTTGCTTTATGTATGAATGTTGAATTTTTTCAATTAATGACAGACACCTAGATGAATTTGAAAGCACGCGTATAATTGGGGAGAGGCAATTCAAGAAAGCTGCTGATCTTTTTAACAATGCTGCTGAAAAAATAACTGGAAAGATTGATTTTCGTCACAGTTATTTGGATTTTTCACAGCTTGAGGTGAAAAAAGGAGGGAATGAGAGTGTTAAAACATGTCCTGCTGTCATGGGATTTGCATTTACAGCTGGAACAACTGATGGGCCTGCGGCTTTTGATTTTAAGCAAGGGGACAACACTGTAAGTTAAAACAAATCGTGTTTTATGAGTTTTTTCAATTTTGTTATATATTTGAAAATTTTTAATTATTTTTTAGGGGAATCCATTTTGGAAATTGGTGAGGAACTTGCTAAAAACGCCAAGTCAGGAGCAAAGTGAGGCACACATTAGGAAGAGTCCTTGAGTGGTGTTACTAAGGAAGAGTGGAGACAAGTGAGGCACACATTTAAAAAAATCAGCAGAAATCCAGTTTACAGTGAGGCACACATTAGGTTATTAGAACTATTAGTTTGTAAATTTCTGTTACAACTTCTATTTATTTGTTTTATCTTTCCATGGAACGATTATTTGTATGACATTAAATTTTATGGGTGACGCAACAGTAGCAGGAGCTATGTTCCCCTGGTGATTTCCTGAGGATCCTGCATTATCGAAGTTCAAGATCCTTTGTTGTACAAATGTGGGTGTCGTTTCCTGGGATCTTTGAAATTATGCCTTCATCTTCTCCACTTCTCTAAGGAGTGTTCTATTCTCCTCTTGCTGTTGGGTCATCTGTTGTGTCATTTTCCTCATCATAGCGAAGAGTTCTGCAGTAGTGACCGGAGCAGTCGGATCCTAGAGTCATGAAGATCCCAAACTTCCTTGGTTAGTGACCGGAGGGGTGTTTTTCTTGGAAGTGTCAGGCGCTTTCCTCTGACCAGGGGGTCCACTCGGAGGAGGTGGTAGATTTTTTGTTGGAATGGAAGGAGCAGAGGATGAAGAAAGGATCGGTTGTGTAGACATGATCTTTCGAGGATTTTGAACACCACGGCCCCACGGTGGGCGCCAAATTGTTTTGGTCAAAAATTACACAAGTATTGCTCAACCAAATTGAGTGGGAGGCTGTGATGTTCGAATTGTGCAATAGAAAAAGGTAAAGAGAATGAAACGATTGTTTACAAGGAAAGCCCTTGATCCTTGCTATGATCTCCGGCACAAAACCTTGGAAAGTGATAATGATCACCTGCCTTGCTGATTTTATTAATATAAAACGATCATTACATGGAGTATTTTAGTAAGAACAAAAGTATGTAGAGTAAGCTAAGAGTAAGCCGAGTGTGTCGTGTGTGAGATACATGTGTCAATTTATAGTCTAAACTAACTAACAAGATGTCTGATATTCTCGGGATCCTCTATGACCAGCTCTGTGAACATTGTTTGACTTGGTATTCCGGGTCTTTAGCATAGTTGAGACGAAACTCTGTTGAGAATAGGTCTTCTCTTGACTATTTCTGCACACGTGTTTGTTAAGAACGAAATATAACCGTTATAAATGTTAGTAAATAATAATAACGGTAATAGTCGGGATCCTGAGATAGTTGAGGATCCTGGATATCTGATGAGGTTTGAGGATCCTGAAAGCTTTGAGGATCCCGGCCCTAACACTTATTAACTTGTAAATCATAAATGTGGAATGAAGTATAAAATGCTTTAAGATTTTTAGTGTCATCAATTTCAACATATATATATATATATATAGATATATATATATATATATATATATATATATATATATTATAAATAGATGTTTGTCCGCGCAAAGTAACATCGATAAATAGCTCTCTTTTGGCGAATAGTTTTATTACGAATAAATAATTATTTAATTTTATTATTAGTTATTATATAATAAATAATTACCACTTTTAATTAAAATATTTATGTTTAGAACTTATATTTATATTGTTTGTTTATATATTTGATGTAAATTAATTTTTATCGATGTCTAGTTTAAGAAATATAAATTAATTTATTAGATAAATTTAATATTTTAAAATTGTCATTTTGCTCTAAATTAAAATTTCAATAACATTCCTTAATTTTTGTGTTCAAAATTTTGGCAAGTATTAATGATTTTGTTATGTATAATTGATTTGTACGAAAACATTTGTATCTTATACTTCTTAGAATTCAATATATGACAATATCTTTTATAATATATTATAAGATTATAAGATATATATCTATATATATATATATATCTATATATATATATATATATATATATATATATATATATATATAGGGTGAGGTTCAATAGAGAACCATAATTAACCAATGAACCAATCGTGCGCGTCGGAAATCATAACGATCAACGACCAAGGAAATAGATGTACACTTTTACATTGGACGCACACACACGGAATTATACCAAAAAATCCACCATTTACAAAAAAACTGACAACTTTTTTTCGTTTAAATTTTTTTTACGCCATGTTTTTTATCAAAAAAATAAACCGAATATACCGTTGTTCACGATTTTTCGTTCTCTTTCCATAGAGATCCATAATGATATATAAAAAACGAACTTTTTTTTTTCGAAAAAAACTCACTTCATTTTCTTTGCTGAAAAAAATTAAGGTCTATTTTTTATAGAAAAAAATTAATAAATATATCAAAATTCATATTTTTTTTGTACTTTTTAAACATAGATTCATATTAATGTTAAAAAAACGATATTTCAGTTCAGATTCACATTGTGAACTTGTTCAGATTAATATTGTAAACCTGTTCAGATTCACATTGTGAACCTCTTCAGATTCACAGTGTGCATAATAATAAGTTAGATTCACAGTGTGAATCTGAACTGATCGGAGCTTTTTCACATTGTGATTGTTAAAATTTGAAATATTACAGTTTAGATTCACAATCTGAATCTACACTGATCGAGGTTTTTTTTTGTGAACCTTCTCAGATTCACAGTATGCATAATAGTAATTCAGATTCACAATGTGAATCTGAACTGTTCGAGATTTTTCATATTGTGAATGTTAAAAATTGAAATATTTACAGTTTAGATTCACAGTGTGAAGATACACTGTTCGAGGTTTTTTTTTATTTTTTAATCGGTGTTGATGTTTATTAATAGAGTACAAAAAATTAATATTTTTGGTATAATTCGTTTTTTTTTTGATAAAAATAAACTTAAATATTGAAAAAACTAAGAAAATTAAGTGAGTTTTTTTTCGAAAAAAAAAAGTTCATTTTTTATATATCATCATGGATCTCTATGGAAAGAGGCGAAAAATCGTGAACAACGGTATATTCGGTTTTTTTTTTTCGATAAAAAACTTGGCCTAAAAAAATTTTAAATGAAAAAAAGGAAGTGAGTTTTGTTATAATCCGGTACATGTGCGTCCATTATAAAAGTTTACAACCCTTCTTTTTGGCGTTGATCGCTTTAAATTCCGACGCTTTGGTTTAGTTCCTTGGTTCCTTGATTAATAATGGTTATCTATTGAACTTTTCCCTATATATATATATATATATATATAATATATATATATATATATATATATATATATATAGAGAGAGAGAGAGAGAGAGAGCTAGGTTCAAGTATTCTAACTAATGATTGTGCGGATGTGTGGACAATGTTATTCTATGAGAATTACAAAGAGAATAAGTTGTTTAGCAATGCGAATACGTTCAACCTTACCAAAATATCGTCATTTTCATGCATTCTCGCTAATTATTATTTATTTTTGTTCTCACACATCGTTTTTCACTCATTTTCATTCTAATAGAATACGACTCAATAAACATTCTGACAACATTATGACAGAAATGAGAATAATAATAAATAGTGTATAATAATCTTATAGACGATTTAATTAGTGAGAAGGTGTTTTAATGACAATAGTTATGTAAGATTGAACGTATTGATATTATCAAACAACATATTTTCTTTATCATTCTCAAAGAATAACATTGTCCATACGTTCGCACAATAATTAGTTAGAATAGAATAACCTAAGCATATATATATATATATATATATATATATATATATATATATATATATATATATATAATATATATATATTAAAGCACATAGGATGTTAGAAATAGTATATTTTTGGTCATTTAAGAGATTTGCCACACTACTTTGTAGTTTGACAAATTTGGTCCCTTATAAGTGTTCATCGACTCATGCTAATGCTTGGCATTCGGCTTGAAGTATAAAAGCGATGATTGTTACAGTTTCTTTTCACCGTTTCTCTTCCCGTTCTCCACCGTGTTGTTGACGTGAAGAAATATCTACGCTCCTTCAACCTCTGAATTTCAAATTTAATCAATTCAATTGTCTTCCCTATAGGCTTCTCAATCGGTGCATCTCTTCTACAGGCAGATATTTGGCTTTCTTGCTGCAAATGGTTGGAAAAAGTTGTACCACCATCCACACACCCTTCATTACCCAAATTCTCTCATGCTTCAATCCTTTCGTCATATGTCCTTCTTGAACCCTAGAATATGACCTCTTACCAGTTTTAGGGCTAAAATTGCTATTCTTCTCAGTAAGTTAACCAGGTTAGTTTCCCGATTTGATTAAGTCGCTTGAGGCTTATGGCATTAGATGAAACCCGTATGAATTATTACAATATTTGGGCATGAAATCCCAATCGTTGTTCTCCAGACGCTCTTTCAAACCAACATCATAGGTCGCCTTAAAGCATTGTTCGTTGACTTTTATCTCTAGTTTCACAGTTTCACGACTTGAAGATTCGAAGTTAGTCTTACCTCTCCTTCCACTAGGTCTTTGCTCGATTTCAGTTTTATGCCCTAAATCACAATCTCGATGTCAACGTTTAGAGGTTAGGTAACACAGGTGATTCTGGATTTCCTGCCCAAATCACATTATCATAGATTTCGAAGAATTTATGGACAACTCCTCCAAACCATTCTTTCATATGTCATAATTGTGTGAAGATCAAAATCCTGATTCACTATGTTCTGTTGATTATTTGAGATATTGAAACTGATTTGGCATTTCTGTTAATTATGGTAGTCTATTTAGGGTTTTGTATTTTTGGTAAATATTTTATTTTCCCTATATATAGTTATTAGGTTAGCTTGTAATGTAAGCTTTTTCCTGTAAAGGTTTCTTTGTACGTCCGATTCCAAAATCAATGATATACAAAACATTTGACATATCACTTGCAACTTTATGGTGATTGATTCATGATTGTTCTTCAGATTCCGCATTCGTCATCTCGTTATTCGTCCTAACAAGTGGTATCAGAGTGGGTTCTTGTAGATCTCAACGATTATTGCAAGAATCGATCAGATATAGCGAATTTTTTTCATGAATCTCACTCTATTCTTCAAGTTTTGTAAGTTTTCTGAAGAGAAAAGTGAAATATCTCT